ATTCATCTGAGAGTGGGGTGTCTGGTGTCTGGGAGCCATTTCAATATTGGTATGGGATGGAGTGTCTCCTTTCTGTAGTGGCAGGTGTGCTCCTGGCTATAGTAAGGCATTCAACTGACATTGAGCTACCTGAAAGAGGAATACCCTGGTGGGGGGGGGGCTGTGGGTGCTATCTTATTTTGTATAACATTGTGGTGGAATGATTTCCTGATGAATGATTTTCTTCAAGTGAGAACAGAGATGACCCCAAATGGCTTCCAGACTAGAGAACATATGATGGTACCTGAAAGAACCCAAATGAGATGGGGTTGGAGGCAGACTGTGGAGGCAGCCACACACCCTTTCCCCTGGGTGATAACACATAACTGAGCTTCATGGTTCGGCCTAGAAAATCTCTGCAGTCAAGGAAAGGATTTCACTAGTCTCTGATTTTGTAGGGAAAGTACAGAAAAGAGAAGATGTGACAGAAGTGTTGTCTTGCAGTTTCTGTTTTTTTAACATTTATTTATACATTTTAAATTGTGTGTGTGTGTGTGTATGCAAAGGTGAGTAGAGTTGCCCTTAAAATTACACATGCTTGTGGGCTACTTGATATGGGTATTGGGAACAAACTCAGGTCCTCTGCAAGGTAGTACATGCTGTTAACCACTAAGCCGGCTTGCCATTTCTTTCATGAGTTCATGGCTATACTCAAGTATGCCTTTCAGTGATATACCCATGCCCCTTTAAAGAACCCCTTAATCATGCTCCTGTGAGTAAACTCAGGAAACTCCTTGGTTCACTAAACTAGACTTGGGTGAAATTATATCTTTGATCTGAAGTTAGTGCTCTATCAAGGGTGAATAGTTGTTATCTCTTCCCAGAGAAAAACCATGCCCAGAATGTATTTATACAGGTGTATATATTTAATGTAAATGGAGTTTGAGCTGCCTAAAAATCAAACACTAAGTTTCTATAATATATTCATATACGTTTAAAAATATGAATAAGACATTACAGTTGAAATGTGTGATTGAGATTCTTGCACGTTTTTATTTTAGTAAACTTTTGAGAAATACTCCTATTTCTTACCTACATTTTCAGTCATTTTCTATCAGTTTTACCTCACTTGCTTCTCCCTCAGTGTCTTATTCTTGCCAGTAGAATTCATATTTTTTGGATCCTAAAAATGGTTCTGTAATACAGACCTAGCTTTCTTACCTTTACATACTGCAGGCTGTAAGAAATGGCAGACTCTCAAGGACCCTAAATAAACAACTGAAGCCATTTTGTACCTTTGCTAGTGACTGAGGCAGTATTTATCTATTCATCTATCATCTATCTATGTCTGCATCTGTGTTACCCACCTAGCTACCTAGGTTTTTATTTATCTACCTATTGGTCCAACGATTTGCCTCTGTGTTGCAAGTGCATTACCCAACACACTGACACTCACACACACACACACACACACACACACACACACACACACACACAAAAGGGTCTGTCTTTCTCAAAGATACTTTATGCTGCAAAGCTCATACTGTATGTAACATCGAGGGCATTTAAGAAGGCTTATGAATTTTAGCATGTGCAACCTATAAAGCTTTTAAAGTTAGCCTTTTTTGTATCTTTACATTACAAGAGAAAGTCTTTTTTATTTTTTATTTATTGATCTTTTTGAGTCAGGGTCTCCATGTAGCCTCAGCTGGCCTGGAACTCTCTATGTTGTCGGCCTTGATCTCAGAGATCTGCCTGCCTTTGCCTTTCTGAGTGCTGGTACTAAAGGGGTATGCCACCACGCCCGGCTTGAGGAGAAATCTTTGGAAGTGTGGTACATTCTTATGGCCATTTTTCACTATTGCAGCTTCTAAACGTGAGAGATTAAGTAGACTAGAACTCAGCCACTTTGTATTTATAAATGATAGGATGAAAAAGGAAGGGACTGGTTATCAGAAAAGTGTAACGTAAGAGCTGTGTGGGACTGGAACAGGAAGAAAAAGGATGAGCAGGGAGCTTGTAAGCCTATCTTGCAGGTGGCTAGGGTCATATCCATCTAAAAATCAGTATATATAGAATCCATTTATTCACTTATAAATACACAAAGACATGAACATTTACTATGAAATACATCCCATAGATGGCTACAATTTTTCTATCAGAAACATTTGGGAGGTAAATCTTGTGTCTTAACTACATTTCACTCATTCGATGAAAATTCTACAAATTCATCATCCCTATTCCAAGAACATACATGAAATTCCTATTGCCTCAAAGCTTTCTGTTACTACAGCATCCTATCTATTTTCTGTGTAGGTTTATGTGTTTGTATCATTTTACATAGGGATGAATGCAAATGAAAAGCAAGAGGCTTCGTTTTCCCTCTTGAGAATAGCATCTGAATCTCCTTTACTTTCCCTTTTCCTATTGAATTTACTTCAGAAAAATTCCAATTTGTAACATTCACACTATCTCTTTGAAGGTATGCAATTCTTTAAACTGAAAAGCCTTATACCATCTTAAAGATCTAAAGACGTCTCTCTTTGAAATGCAAACACCAAGAAAGATAGAGTCCCTGCTCTAGTAAGTTTAGAAAGTAGGTATCTAAATCAGTGGTCACATGAACTTAGCGTCAAAATGAAAAATTGTCTTCAGCCATAAAGATATAAGAAGCTCATTTGCCTTTGGATAAAGCAAATTAATGAAGAAAATAGATTTACCAAGGGATTTTGTGATGATGCATGTGTGACAAAAGAGTCCTGTGAAGGTCTCTTTACTCCAGAACTAGCTATTGTCTGTCTTGAAGACTTGTATTCAGCGTTGTACCTGTATGGCTTTACAAAAAAGTGAGGAATCTTTAGCCTTAGTGAGCTGTCTATAATATACAACACATTTTGACAATGTCTGTTCAATGATGAACTCTTGAAATTTTGTTGACTGGATTTTCATATTGGCATATCTTATTTATAATTATATTTCCCAAACAGTAGTCAAATGTTGCAAGTTTCTTCTAGAAAGGGCTTAATGGTAAATATTTTATTCATTTCGGGTCATGGAGTAAAATTGGAACAAGTCATCTCTGTCCTTATTGCAGAGAAGTCACTGGAACCACATAAATGCTAGTTTTATTTACAAAATAGGCATCAGGCTGGATTTGGTGAGCTGGCTAAAATCTGTACCTTCCTGAGCTATGGACATATAGATTTTCAGAATACAGAATTATAGTAATATAATATATGACTGAAATCAACCCTTCAACCCCTGCCACCGTGTGTGTGGGGGGGTGTCTTGTGTATGTGTGTGTTGGGGGGTATTGACATACTGTTGTGAAATGCATTCACTTTAGTAGGCTCCATAGGGTGATTTATCTAAATTTAATTTGAAAATTCCTAACTGGGATTAATGGGTAACCAGTGGTCTCTGTATGGCAGTATTTTTCAAAAGTGTACAAGTTTGCAAACCCTTCTAAGATTAGTATCACTCAGTTTTCTAAATTCATACAAAACTATTTTATATAATGTTTTTGTTAAAGGTATTTCTCAGAGTTAAGAAAAGAAGGCTCACAAGAATTATTTTTGGTAAATTCAAAATACCCTTTTTTTTCTAAGAAGTCCACCTATTTTTGCCACACATACTTACCAAATGATATCATTTCTTAGTAAAAGCTATAAAATAGTCTTTTTTAAAAAATTTTAGTCCTTTTAACAACATTATTAAGGATCATTATTATTGAAAACTTATTTAAATGAGAACAGATCTAACTCAACTCACAATGAATAAATGGATTATGGATTCATGATTTTCCATTGATTGAGAAGGCCTGGTACCATTCATTATTTGTTCAGTTGTGACCTCACAGTAAAAATCACCATGTGATGAATTGCAGCCTTCTTTTAAATAGAGTTTCATACATTCATTATAAATATACCCATAATTATCAGTCTCCAGCATTCTAGAAAGATGTGCTCAACTACTGCAGCTTTATTCAGGGGAAAGACACCACTTTCTTACAGTGAGGGAATGAGCTGTCCTCTAAATGAAGGCCAAGGACAAGTTTGTAATTCAAAGAAGCAGAAAAAGATAGATCAAGGTTTTAAACTAAAGGGTGATGTTTTTTTCCTTGTATTAGCTAGAAGCACAGAATTTTTACCTGATAATGAGGCTGACCACACCATGCTATTTATATCGCACATATCATAACTGGAATAAAGGGCACCCTTCACTTCTGAAGGTGCCACTTTCATTACAAGTGGAAAAGGGAGTGGACGGTTTACCTGAACTTCAGTAAATGCTCCTTCTGTCTTTTCAAGAGTCCTTTGATCTTGAAATTTTTAATGACAGTCAAATAGAAAACTTAAATAAGTTTAATACTCAGTTTTATTGAATTTCCATAGTAATTTTTTAAAAAATGAAAGTTTTTTTTCCTTTTTTCGCTTGCACAACAGTTTTTGTTTTAGGGAAAAAAATCTTATCGCGCATGAATTGGTATAGAAGTAGTGACAATGCAAGGCAATTCCAAATTAGCTAAACCAATAAGGCCACTTGCTAACCAATAAGGAATAACAGAAAGAATAAAAGGTCTGAATGCAAGGATTTTGGGGACCTCCTATTTACAACTGTTGTTCTTGAACAGGAATGTTCATCTGTATACATGACCCAGCTCCTATGCAGGATGAATTAAATATAATTGATTTTACACATTCATAAATATCACATCATTTGTTTTGAGACATATGCTCTTAGAGTTTCCATTTTCCCCATTGTTTATAGAGAGGGAAGGGACCAATGGCTATGATATATAGTTATCATGTGTTAGTTTCATAACATTATAAACTACCTAATCAATTTTTACATGTGTAAACATTATTTCTCCGAAATGATAGTATTATAAAATATTGCTTTTTTTCTCTAATGTTATCATTTTATCATCCAGAATAATTAACAAAATCTTTTTAAACTTTTGAAGGATCAAACCTATTTAGCTAACTTCATTATAAGTTGTTAAATGACTGCGATCTTACCTGCTGTGCATCTTCCCATTTTTCCTTGTTTTCTTCATCTAAAAGGTTGCTATTTGAAAAAAGTTCTGTAAATAAATTAGACAAAAAGCTTAGTATTAATGAGAGAATACACTTTTCAGTAGCATCCATTTGGAATGACTATTATATAAATATTTTGTAGTGCTCTTTTATGTTCTGACACATTCTCCAACTTTAAGGAGCCTTTTCAGTACGTAATTCATTTCTTAAAATGTTATTTATTATTTTTAATTTTTTATGTGTATGAGTGTATTGCCTGCATGTGTGTAAGTTCATCCATGTGGTGTGATGCTGCAGAGGTCATTGGATCCCCTGGAACTAGAGTTATGGATGGTTATTAGATGCCATGTAGATGCTGGGAACCAAACTTGGGTCCTCTGCAAAATAGTCAGTGTTGCTAACCCTTGAGCCATTTCTCCAGCCTGCCCCTTTTTAATACATGATTCTAAGGTTTCTACATTCCTTCATATCATTTCCCCCAGAGGCAACCAGAATAGGTGAAATACTTCTTACTCTCAATTGTTTCATTGTTATCTATATTCTACTCTGTCATTGCATAATTATTCCTTACACATATTTTATTACTTCTGTAAAGGAAATTGTTCATACAGGTCTAGCACAATTTTTCCTGCTAATTGTTAACTATGATTGCTTCTTAAGTTATTGTTTCTAATAACAGTATATATGAGAGTGCACAGCAGGCCGACCTGAGGCTAGACAAGGCCCCTCAGTTCCAATCTTTGTTCTGTTCTTCCTGTTTATTGTGCTTTTATTTTTCAACTATTCCTGTTCAGCAGTTGGACTTGCACTGGGGAATGGCTGGGGGTACTGACCACACAGTGGGCAGTAACAGGGATGACAGAGTATATGGGCTCTAGTGGGGGGGTCTATGAGAGGATTACAGTAGGGATGGGAGCAAAAAGATGGATTAAGATTGTTTGAGATGTTCTGTATTAAAGACACAAAAAAAATCATTTAAAAATTCCTGGCAAAGAGCACATGATCAATGTTTCATAAATTTTAGCAATTTTTGAATTACTACAGTTTGCCCTTGAATTTTTCCAACAATGCAACACCTAGCCATTATCCTTAACTACCTTCAGAGGACCTGTTGGTTTTATATAGAGTTATACAAATAATGGTCTGGTGCTCTCTTTCCAAGTAGACATGCTCATTGTGAGGCTCATTTTTCATTCACCAGGGACACAATGACAGCCATATTCAGTTCAGCTCTGTTAGTGATCATTTCATATATGAAACTTGTTACCAGAAAGACTTTTCCGTCTTCTCACAGTATGCTGTGCCATCAACGCACATGAGTCAGGACAGGAAACATATGGTGCTTGCTGAAGGTGACCCATGACTTGGTGTCACAGGAGTCCTATACAGTGTCCAGTGGAGGCCCGATACACAGATGGTGGCTGCTTGCTTGTGTCCTCAGAATCTCACCTGTCTAACTGGTAGATAATTCAGCAGGCCCATTTCCTCATTCTGACTCACTAGCTTAGGGCAGGGCTCCACTCAGTGCAGACATAATCATAATTTTTCAGTCTCGTTTGTCCTTTCCCTATCTACGTTTTCAAAGTAAGCACTTGCTCTAATTCCAAATAAATTCACCTGGGTGTTTTTAGATGAAAAGCAAGGATGCTTCATTTCCACCTCTTGTGATTTGAAGTTGTTAGTGTCTATATTTAATTGCCCTGTTTGTGCTATTTATTTTAATAGTTCCTGGCAATCACATGGTTGAAATATGTTTTGAGTTACAACTTCTATAAAAGTTACAGAATAGTTTATGCAACTCTTGGGGAAAAAAAAGTCTGTTTTAGTTCCATTTTCAACTCATTTAACCTTTCTGTACTATCAGTCATGTTTTTTCTTTTAAAAATTTTTGCTTGGAGTGCTAACATTTTAAGGGCTTAGTCCATTGAGCTGTAACTCTACCTAAGGGCACAAAGAATTAACCTTCAAAGTTTCTAATTGCCTATGGTTGGTTACCTCAGTAGGGGACATGGTGCTAATGAGCAAATGCTCCAAGTTTCATACCTATGAACGTGAGATGGCTGCGCTGAGGTCTATGACCTGGGTCTGCATCTTAATCCTCCAACTCTCATACAAAATGCTGCTGCTGCTAACAAGAGACACCAAGAAAACAGGAAACAATTTGTGCAAATGCATCTGCACTTCTAGAAGAACACTGCAGAAAGCATGTTTTACTGACAGTGGTTCAGTGACTTCTTGCTATGCATGAAGTCCACCGCACACACGTTTTCCTTGATGAAAATAATAAATTCAGTATTTAGTTTTTAAACAGCCAAAGGACAAACATAAGAACATGAATTACTAACATAAGTCTTAAACTAACCATAGTGTATAAGAAACAATTTGTACTGTTTTTCAGGGGCATTAATGGGGTTTTATTGAATCAGAGTAGGAAGGCAGCTCAGATTGAAGTTCCCCTGTGATCTCATTGCTGATTGTATTTCAGAGTAATCAAGAGCTGTTTTCTGACTAATGCAGGCCATGTAGGGCACAGTGAGTTAAGTCTGAATGTCTAGAGTGGGGTGGGGGTGGGTATTATGGAGAAACCAGCTCTTTCTTTCGGTGATATAGGGATCAAATTTCTTATGTCAGTCCCTGTAATGTGTCAGGTAGTGTCTCTCTCTCTCTCTCTCTCTCTCTGTCTCTCTCTCTATCTCTCTCTCTCTCTCTCTCTCTCTCTCTCTCTCTCTATTTGAGACAGGGTTTCAATGACAAGTTGGGAACCAAGTTGGGAACCTTCTGTGAAACCCAGGCTGGTCTAGAGTCACCCTTCTGCTTTGGTTTTACTCTGCTGTGATTACAGGTGTACATTACCACACCCACTGTACTTCTGTTGTTTTGTTTTTTGTTCACCCCTATCTCATACCTTAGACTTATTCCAAAACTGAATGTCCTTGGGAGAGCCCCACTCGTGTGAAAATCGAAGCAGCAGAAATGTATTAACATTTCTCCTTAAATTTTAAAGCAAGTGGTTCTGGATAAAGGTCCTGCCTGCTTCTCCTACGTGTAAGGCAGAGCTACATGAATCTTAGGGGCAATTGTATACACCATTCTGGATGCACAGAAAATGTTTGATATATGGAGGCTTTATGGATTTTATCTCTTCTCTGTTATCTTTTTATGTGACTAACTACATGACTTGTACTTACTATCATACGTTTCACAACTCCCCCTTGCCCCACAGTCTGTCTTAATGTTTCTTCCTCACTTGGCAACAGGGAAAGGTCAGAATGGATTCACTACTAACTTCTGGATCTATCTATAATTTGTTTAACAGAAACCTATCTTTCCTGAGAATGAACTCTGCTAGAAGGGGTTTACAGCATAGTGATAACTAGATGCCTATTCAGTGAGAAGTGCTCTACCAAATGGCTGTGGAACACTAAGGTCAAACAGACAGGGATGACTGTATTTTTCTTCGTAGGAAGAAAAGAGAAGTAAATGCCAAGTATAAAGAGAAACACAGATGCCTCCATGACTATCAAAATGAAGTCAACACTGAAGGATATTTGGGGACACAAATTACACTCTATAAGGCATTATATATAATTGAGTACATCAAATTAGACAGGATGCAGTAAATGGAGGTACAAAGAGGGAAGGGGATCTAAATAGCATCAAAGTATATTGTGTGAAAATCATAAACATTCAATAAAAAAATGCAGATCGCAGAATGGGCAAGAAGTGCAAAAAGGACATTTTTTTAATGGACAGCATTCAATACATCTTTGCTTTATTGCTGATTGGCTTCCCTTGGCAGAATGCTTACAGTTTAGATACCATTTCGCCTTATCATACTAAAACACATCTTAGTATTAACGGGTTGTAGGTTGTATTTGTGTGAATATTTAAAAGTGATTAGGCTAATGATTTGAGATATCTGAGTCACTGAGTTTACTTTTTTTTTTCAACCACCTTAAATCAGGGGTGAAACATTGGACACTAAAGGACAAAGATAAGTCTTAAAGGACAAAATTTCATAATTCAAAAGTGAATATGTATATTATATATAATTGAATTGATGAATATAAGATTGAATACATTGTGTTAGCCCTGGTGAAAAGAGTAGGTATAAAGAAAGGCTGATAGAATAAACAAGGAAGAAGGGACAAACCATTATGATAAAGATCAATAGCATAGGAGAGATCACTGAGTCCTAACCTGGAGATCAGGTTAAGACTGCAAAGTCATCTATAATGTGGACGATTGCGTCCTCGATTTTTCCTGTGCTGTCTTGCCAGACACTTGGCATCTAACCCAGGTTCACCAGAGTTCTTGATGCTCTTTATATTTTATAGTCCTGTCTGTGGACAAATAATGTTGCCTTTCTTGGATTCTTTCTTTTTCTTTCTTTCTTTCTTTCTTTCTTTCTTTCTTTCTTTCT